CCCTCCCCCACCCCCCCTCCCCCCCGCCCACCCCCACACCCACCCACCCTCCCCCCCCCCCCCCCCCCCCCCCCCCCGCAAATCCCAAAATCCCCAAAATTCGAAACGACCCCGGATTCATGCTCATCTCCCAATGCGGAGAACAACCCCCTGGACCAAAAAAAAATAATAATAATAAATTAGGCTATTTTTTTCACACGTCCGGGTGACCCGGTCGTTGGACCTGCCCGGGCGACCGGCCGGTCCAGACCAGCTGGTCGTCAGAATCTTCCTAGCTCTACTGTACAAAAAGGGCGACAAGGCAGACATTAAAAACTATAGACCAATCTCTCTGCTAACACTCCCATACAAAATTCTGGCAAAAACTCTTTCCAATCGGATCTCCAAAATAACAAATAAGTGTTTTCATATCGACCAGACAGGTTTCATCCCGGGTAGATACATTCTAGACAACGTGCTAACATTGAATGAGGCGGTAAGGAAGATTAGGGAAAGAAGAATAAACACAGCTATACTTTTCTTTGATTTTGAAAAAGCCTATGATCAAGTGAATTGGGACTTCATGGAAGCATGTATGGAGAAAATGGGCGTAGGCCCGAACTTCAGGAAATGGGTTCGCATACTTTACAGAGATGCAGTCGGTTGTGTCCAAGTTAATGGATTGTTATCAGATTATTACAACGGCTACGCCGGACCCGGACCCGGACATTTCCGGACATGGAACCGGACCCAGACATTTCCGGACATGGAACCGGACCCGTGTCTGGTAGTTTCCGGACGTCCGGAGTTCCGGACATGGGGGATCCGGACGGTCCGGATGCCTGGACAGGTCCGGAAATATCCGGACCGTTAAAAAAAAAAAAAAAAAAAAAAATCTGAAAAAAAAGTATGTTATGCAGAATAGCAATGCAAACCACTTTTGCCTTGGAGTCATGTTTGAATTCCAAACCAAACTTGAGTTAAAAGTCAAAAACGATAAAAAACTTAAAAAAAGCTTAAAAAAACCCTTCAAAAACTAATAAAAGGTAATGAATTATTAATAATTCAAGAATTGGGGTTGTCTAATAAATTATTATATAGAGAGAGCATGTCCGGACCCCTCAATAAAGCATAAACGGGCCTGAAAAACCCCCAAAACGATTTTGGGGGCTTGGTTCCTCAATGGGGAAGGGTTCAAGACCTTTTTTTTTTTTTCCCTCGAAATTTGGCAGATCCGGACCTTCCAGACCGGATGTCTGGAGTCCGGACTGAATCCGGACCGTCTGAACAGCGGTCCGGACGTCCGGATCGTAGCCATGATTATTACCCGATATCCTGCTCAGTCCGACAAGGAGACCCACTGGCCCCATTGATATTCCTGTTTGTAATGGAGGCCATCGCATCCTTTCTGCGCAAGGACCCTTCGATCCACAGGCTCCCTGTTCTCAACGCCGGTTCGGCTCATCGGATAAATTTCCCGACAGCTATCTTGTTTGCAGACGACCTAACCGTGCTTATCAGAGCTTCAGACTCATCCTTTAGGACTTTGGCTAAGGCAATGGAAGCTTTCAGATTGGCCTCCGAAATGAAGATTAACTGGGGGAAAACAATAGGTTGGTGGCTATCAGATGAGGAACCCCTCCAACTGCAAGGGGAGGAAGCAGCCATGACTTGGGAAATGCCAGAAGTACCCACCCGATACTTGGGTATACTTATGACAAGAGAGGGCCTGGCACCCCAAATGGGTCAAAACATATTAACCAAACAAATCAACAAAGTAGGGAAATGGGGTAATGTCTTCACGTCCCTCATTGGTAGAGCCCTGGTCATAAACACATCGGTCTTCTCAATGATGTGGTACATAGCATCTATATGGACAATCCTGGATAGCTCTATCAAAGAACTGAATTGAAAAGCTAGATCTTATCTCTGGTCAGGAGATCCTAACAAAGAAAATGGCATACCCAAGATTGTCTGGCATTATGTCACGAGAAGTCCGCAGAAGGGAGGTCTAGGAATTATAAACCCTGGAACAGAGACGAAAGCCCTACAGACCAAATGGACTATTAAACTCTTGATGAATCCTGACTCTGCATGGAATAAACTAGCCTTGGACAATATCAGAGCCTTGGCCCCGGCACCTTCTCCAGAGGACATGTCAGAACAGTTTTGGGTAATGAACAAGGAATGGGTCATGACTACAGGGCGAAGAAATTGAAGGGGGGATGAAGGACTAGAGGGTTACAGACCTCCTACTCCATACTGGTCAGCGCTACTCCGAAGTTGGAGAAGAATAATGCCTAACAAATCTAATAGACCTAGATCCAAGGACGAAGTACTCAGGCAGCCACTCTTCGGGAATCAATGGATAACCAACGAGAACGACAACCCCCTTCCCCTGGAACACAGATGGCTCTCCTGAGTCAAAAATGGTATATGGAAAGTCGCCCACCTGTGGGATGAGGAAAAAAAAGAATGGAAGACGGAACAAGAGATGAGCTCCCAACTGAAAGGATGCCATGAACGAGGGCCTAATCTCGAATATATCCTCAACCTCATCCGACAAGAATGGAAGGCCATATTGACTGAAGCTGCACCCTGGAAACCAGGAGAGTGGGGGCTTCTGGGACAAGAAACGATTCCTTCCAGAGCCTTCCAGTTCTCTCACATGCAACAAAACTCGCCCACTAAGGCCACCTTCTTCTCCTTTCCAGTATCCTGGTCCGCTACCAGTATGCCAACCATTGTCAACAGTGGAATAGAGTCAGAAGTCTTAGACTTCTTCCTACTTAGAAAGGTGAGAGTCCTTGGTTCCTGGCCAAAATCAATCTTCAGACCTGACACAGCGATTCACAACTTGGAGTTTGACCCAGCTGAGTGGGCATGGGCACCTGATAAAACCAAGAATATCAAGTCCAAAATCCCAATTCACGTGTATACAGTCAAACTGGGATACAAATTGCTACTCAAAACCAAAGACCCTGACCCCATCATCAAGAAAAGATGGCAGACTCTGCTAGGACAGGAGGCAGACAAACTCACTCAGATTCAGTGGAAGAAGTTCAAGTCCATCAGACCAATCAAAATCAGAAGTCTTCAATGGCTAATCACGTACGCGGCAYTACCAGTAAATCAATGGCTACACATCAGACGAAAAGGTTCAGACCCCAACAGTTCYGATCAGTGTACRGTCTGCACAGAAACAGCGGTAGAAGATATAATACACTGCCTAATACACTGTAGGGAGGCGACGGACTATTGGGCAAGAGCCTCAGCACTATGGGACTCCCTATTCCTGACCCCCTTCCCTGAACAACCCATCCAACTTCTCCTCCTGACTAACATTCCCGAGCAGTTCCAGAAGGCAGAAAGGATTTGGTTTGGAATCATAAGGAAGGTGACGTTGTGGATCATATGGAAGGAAAGATGCAGCAGGACGATTGAAGGAGCGGCCAACTCACGCGAAAAAGTTTGGACTGAGACCAAAACGATGATGCAAGCTGAAATCCTCTGCAGATGGCGGAGGATCAAACAATCATGGACAGAGTATGAGGACCAACAAAGGAAGGCGAGACTGAGCTTCAGCAGAACTTGGCTGGTAAATGGTAAAGTGCCGGACCTAAGAGAAGACTGCGTCTGTTGGAAAGACTGGCACAACTCAAGTTCAGGGAGGGGTTACCAGCAACAAACAGCGGTGGACGGGCAAAACACACTCTGACCAAAACTGCCACAAGAGACATTGATGGCTGCAGTATCGGAGAGACGGTTCAGAGAGGAATGTAAGCGGTTCATGATTTACTGAAAGAGAAAACGGCACATTACCCAAGGTGGAATGAGGAAGGAGGCCAGCGAACTGTAAAGAGGTGCCTAAAGACCAACCAATCCTGGACAAGGGACGAGGGACAACAAACATCCCAGGTTTTTAAGTAGTCTGCAAATTCCTCAATTCTCTCTAGCACAGCACACCGACCCGACAGCAGAGGAGCAGGACTGAGGCCAACCAGACTAGCAAGAGCTAACTAGAAAAGAGCAGAGCAGGCTAACTTATGCAGGGGTGAGGGGGGGGTATATCCTTCCGCAGGGAAGTAATCAATGCCGTCCACTCGGGCCTCCCAGCCATAATGGGGAGGAGCGTGCGTGAGTTTCCAATGTATTACATATTGACTTGCCGGGGGAATAGGAACCGGACTGTCGCTCCCCAGAATGGTAGGAGCCAGAACCAGGAGGTTCTGTTCAAAAAAAAAAAAAAAAAAAAAAAAAAGAGGAGCACAAGCAAGAACTGTTAAGGAATGCCAACGGAAGGGAAAGGCTATCGGGCTGGGGCCCTTGTTATGCCCAGGGATTGCAAGGGGATAGAGCCTTTTGATGATAGTCTGGCGGTGAATGAAGACATCGAGGAGAGATTTTTCTTGACAATTATACAATAGCAGCTGATGGCTAATTTGTGGACAAGTCTGTCTTTGGAAAAATGTAACTGTTGGATACTCTTTGGTGGGGCCTTGCCTGAAAGGAGGCTCGCTGGTTGATGGGCTTGAGAAAGCGACCTCTGCGACTGGTCTCCATCTATGGCCATATCTCTGTTTGACCCAGGCTTGTGGGCGTTTAGTCTGGTTGGCCTGGAAATCTGTTTTGCGCTTAGTCCGGCTGGGCTGGAAGTCTGTTATGTGCTGCTGCTGTTCTAATGTCACGTTTCTGCAAACATGTGGGCTTGTGTGTTGCGGTACGACCCAGGCTTGTGGCCATCTATGTGTGGGCATGGCTAGGCTGGAAATCTGTTTTGTGCTGGTGCTGTTCTAATCTTATGTTTCTGTCGAATGTGTGGGCTTGTTTTCTGCGGTACAGGCTACGGCAGGTGGGGGGGGACGTGGTATGCGGCTTGCGCTCGAACCTGAGGGCTTTGTTAAGCTCCTGCAGGTATGCCTATCTGACCTCTTAGCACTCCCAGAAATGTCATCTGACATGCTATTAGTGGGGTGTCAATATCACTTACCACTTGGCTTTCATTGTTGATTGGGAGTTGAAGTTGTCAGACTCCAGAGACGTGTGACCATAGTTACCATGATTATTTTGGTCAAGTTACGTAAGTGGTCATTCCCCCTGGTTGGTTTACTTTGGTTTGTTTTGTTTGATTTCTTTGCCTTTCTTCCCCCTGGTTGGTTTAGTTTGATTTGTTTTGGCTTAGGGTTTGGTTTGATTTCTTCTTTCTTCAAACTGCCACTGCCTTAAGATCTGGCCTCCCTAAACAGACAAATTTCTGAGTTGGAGTACTGAACCGTCTCTTTTGGCTGTCCTAGATGGTGATGTGCTGAACTTCCCCACCAGACCTCCCGTCAAGGACCTTCCAACCGGACCTACAGAACTGCCCAGTGGACCTACAGGGGAATGGTAGAGGCCCTTTTCTTTGACTCTCTGTGGGGCCTGAGCTTCCAGCTTCTAGCACTTTCCAGGTTGTCTTCCTTTCAGAACCTCTGCACTACTCCTATACCGAACCTCCCACCCGCCCCTGTGCCGGGCCTCCCCACTGCCCCTGTACCTGACCACCGCTTCGGTTCCCTAACGGCAGTCACGGGGATATGAAATAGGTTTCAGAGGTAGTGGTGATGATCATTGATATAATTATAGAGATGTGAGTGCAGGGGTTCTATGAGGGTCACGGGGTTCCGATGAGGGTGGGAGTGTTTCTTGGTTTAAATGGATGACAAGTGGAGGGGATTCTGAAACAGTTTTCACCTTTGGCAGTAGCCGATGCAGATCCCAGGGGTCGATCCCTTGACCTCAGCTTACCTGTGTACAGTATCTGCACAGTT